GATTACTGGTAGTGCCAAAGCGGGAGACTTAGCAGTGCCAAGCTAGCATAGGCAGAGGCCGTATTATTCTAGCCACTGCACAGGCATTGTTTTTAATTCCATAAGGAGTATCTTGTAAAGTGCCCATCAATCTTGCTACAGTCGTTGCACTGCAATTTTTCTACCTCAGTGAGTCACAGCAAAATAGGTTTCATGCTGTCTCTCTCATTCCTCTCTGGGAGCACAAAACTTACTTCTGGCTGGCAGGCAGGGTTGGGCAGAGAGGGGGTTCGTGCCAATGCGCATGGGGCAAAGATGGGACATTTTTGAGACCACCAAAATGAGTCTGCTCACTGTGACAGCCTGGGCTACTGTGTTTAGTCAGAAAGGAGTGACAGAGCAAGTTTCCACCACACTGCCCCCAGGTCTGGTCCAGAGGGACCACTTGAATTGCCATGGCCCTTGAATGCCTAGGTTCTTGCTGTGCAATTTGGAGTCACAGTCCGTCTTAAAGAAATTGGGAACAAAGTATAGAAACAAACAGGACTTCATCTAGCTTGAGTCCCAGCTTTATCTTCTTTGCTTACCAGAGGCTGCACCCTGACTGGAACTCAGTACTGCAAGTAGGGTTGCCAGATGGTTGAAACAAAAATACCGAACATCCCCCCCCCAAAAACACTGGGAAAAAATTCTGTTGAAGAAAAAAAAGGGCAAAAATACCAAACACCCTTCCCCCTGCCAAAAAAAAAAACACTGGGGGGAGGGTGTTCGGTATTTTTGTTTCAACCATCTGGCAACCCTAGCTTCAAATTCTGTTGAAGGGAAAAAGGGGAGGAGGGACGGGTGGGGGAGACCAAGGTTGTTGAGCAAAAAAAAAAAAAAAGGACTCCAAGACTTATTAAGCAAAAAAAAAAAATTTTAATAAAATAGCATGTCCCCTTTAAGAGTGAGTGCAGGGAGAGGAACAGGGGAGCAGTGGAGCACTAAGACCCGGGGGAAGCATTACTGCCCCTTGTAGGGTTTCCAGGTGCCCGGCATTTTCGTCTCCTGGCTGGGGAAAAAATCAGAAAATACCGGCCATCTTAGATGTCTGGTATTTTTTGAATTTTTTTACTGGACAGGAGGCAAAAATACTGGACTGTCCAGGTGAATACCAGACACCTAGCAACCCTAACAGCAAGCAAACACCTATTCGCTGAATATCCTACTGCAAATACAATGCTATTTCAAAATAGCTTATTTCGTCATTTGGTGCTGTCTACACAGCGCCGAATTTCAAAATAAAGTGCTATTCCAAAATGTCCCTTACTCCTCATAGAATGAGGTTTATAGGGACGTCAGAAAAGCACGCCCGAAATAATGGGCTTGCTGTGAAGTCACAGGATAGCTATTTCAGGATACTCTGGTATCCAGTGTAGACTTAGCCTTAGATTGGATAGGTAATTGTGTCTTAAATTCCCCGATGACATTTTTGGATGGAACGATTTAATTTAAAAGCCTTTTTTAACGAAGTAATGCAATTGCAACTTATCGAGGGACGCCATAGCTTAAAGGCTTCCATAGCACTAACAGCTCCTCCTCCGAGGCATCAGCATGGGAAACTATGCAATCCAGGGGAGTAGAGCACTTGCTTAGCTCTCCTGAGAGCTGGGTCCTGTCCTTGACTCTGGTGCATAGCCTCTGACAGAGTAGTTACTGCGCCGTGCCTCCGCCCTGTGTAAAATGTGTGCAAAGAGATTCTTCAGAATGCTTGACAAGGAGAGACGTGCCATTAAACCGAACGTCCCTGTAGCTCAAGTAGCCCCATGGGGAGCACGAGCGGGCAATCCAAAAGAGGGGAGGCAGCCCCGCTGTTAGCCAACCACGATCCACGTTGAACACGCTCTGGGCGAGCACTCACTGGCGTAGCAAGCGCCACAGCAGTGCTGTCTGAGCAACTGTGGCCATAGGCTCTAAATAGTGATAGAAATGTAGCCGTGTTAGTCTGGGGTAGCTGAAGCAAAATGCAGGACAATGTAGCACTTTAAAGACTAACAAGATGGTTTACAACAATAGAACACCACTTGTCATCACCTACAACCCCCAACTTAAACCTGTCCAACACATTATCAATAAACTACAGCCTATATTGGAACAGGATACCATACTCAAAGAGGCTCTGGGAGACAGACCCATAGTCTCCTATAGACAACCACCTAACCTCAAGATGATTCTTACCAACCACCACAGGACATACCACACTAATACCAACCCTGGTACCTTCCCTTGCAACAAACCCCGTTGCCAGCTTTGTCCACATATTCATTCTGCTGATACCATTATTGGACCTAACCAAGTGAGTTATAAGATCAAGAACACATATTCCTGCGCATCCAGAAATATAATCTATGCTATCATGTGCCGAAAGTGTCCGTCTGCTATGTACATTGGACAAACATCTCAGACACTTCGCCAAAGGATTAATGCCCACAAAACAGATATCAGACAAGATCACAAAGAGAAAACAGTTTCTTGCCACTTTAACCAGAAAGGACACTCTCTAAATGACTTAGCCACCTGCATTCTGCTACAAAGACCTTTTACTTACATCTGCACTTGAAAGGGAATCCTCTGAACTGTCATTCATGTTAAAATTCGACACTTTCCAAAAAGTTCAAGTGTTTGTTGAGTCCTATCTCACCCGTTACCAAGATAGCTTCCCCAATTATCACCTCGAATACCATTAACTCACAAACATCCCACTCTCCCTACCTCTAATATCAATTCACAGACACTTACCTTCCTTCCTCCCCTCCCCCCTGCATCCCCCTCCTGTTCTGCAATGTGATTTGTCCTTTTCATATTTGTTCATTTTTTTTAATTGTATCCTTTGGTATATATGGTTGTGACTACTTTCTTCCACTATTTGATCTGAGGAAGTGGGTCTGGCCCACGAAAGCTCATCATCTAATAAACCATCTTGTTAGTCTTTAAAGTGCTACATTGTCCTGCATTTTGCATAGGCTCTAAACACCTTCTTAGGCTGTGAACTCCAGCTCCTGCTCCATGTGCTAGGAGGAGACGAAGAATTACATGGCAGCTGCTTTACCAGAGAAGCTGGGGACAGAGAGCCTGATCCAAAGCTCCTTGAAGCCGGTGACTTTGGAGTAGGCCTGGGCCGGGAGAACCACTAGAGACTGCAGGGATGCTGCCAGCCAGTGTTTTATGGGTAATTAAAGGCTCCTTGGTTGGACTGCTCTGTGCCTGGACAGCAAATTGCCTCTAGAGAAGCTGCTTCAGGCTGTCCTTTCTCCCTTGCATAGAGCCTGTCGGAATGGTGCTGTGATAACGGCACAGATGATTGTAGGTGGAAATCTAATCAATGGTAACTCGGTGGAGACATAAATTTGTGCCTTGGAGACTGTCCCTCTGGACTCTTCTGCAGGGCTTCACCTCCCTTCCTCCCCCCTATCCCCCGCCCCGCCTGGCAAGGAGCATGATCTAAATGCTGCTAGCTGCTCTCCAGATCCCTGGATGGTTTGTCCAGGCACAGGTGAGTTTGTTGTATTTTGGGTGCACATCCCAAAGAGGAGGCTGTCTCCTTTAACCCCCCCACTGGCCTGCTTCCGCAGAGCTGTCGAAGGGCCGTGCTGGCTGCTCCCCTTCCCAAGCTGTATCTGCTCATGCGCAGGAGGGAGAGGAAAGGGCAGCCTGGTGTGTAGGGCTTTGTAACGGGACTCGAGGCTTTACTCCAGCCGTGGCAGTCTGGATGGGGAGACATTAGCTGAGGACAGTAGGGTCTGATTCTAAGGGACTCAGCAGCCACAGATGACAGTGGATTTTTCCCAAGAGCTCAGCTCTCATTGTCAGACTCGTGGCCAGATTTTTATACCCGGCACACCGGGCTCCGCTGTAAACCCACCTGGCCCCTTCCCCTCGCTGGGTGTTGCTTCTAGTGTTGCCTGATGGTTGAAACAAAAATACCAAACCCCCTCCCCCCCCCAAAAAAAACACCAGGAAAAAAATTCTGTTGAAGGGAGAAAAAAGAGGGGAAGACCAAAGTTGTTGAGCCAAAAAAAAAAGGACCCCAAGGACTTATTTATCCCCCCCCAAAAAAACCCCAATTAAAATAAAACAGCATTAAAACAGCATTAAAACTCCCTTTAAGAGTGAGTGCAGGGATAGAAACAAGGGAGCGGCTGAGCACTGTTTCCCCTAGGTCTTTTGGCCGGCAGCCATTTTTTGCCAGCAGCCTTGGGGAACCAGGTAATCATGGGAGCTGGGGCCGGGGGGCTGGAGGTTCTGGGGGCCAGGAGGAGCTCGGGGGGCGGGGGAGAGGCTGGGCGCTGAGTGTTTGTAGGGTTGCCAAGTGTTCGGCATTTTCGCCTCCTGGCTAGGGAAAAATTCAGAGAATACCGGACATCTCAGGCATCCGGTAGTCTCTGAATTTTTTTACCGGACAGGAGGCGAAAATACCGGACTGTCCAGGTGAATACCGGACACCAGGCAACCCTAGGCTTCCCCACGCTATACAGCGGGAGCATAACTTCCCCTCTCTCTTGTGGAGGTGTGAGAAGGATAAACGCAGGAATGGGGTAGGCTGACTCAGACATTCCAGTGGGAATGGGGCTGTGGAAAAGACTCTCCCATAAGGTCAACCTCCGGGAAACGCAGCCCTCTATCCAACCGCAAGAGAAGACTGCAATTGGCTTTGGGACCTCACAGCAGCTGCTGTAGTTCACTGGCCAGTCCAAGCTGGTTTGCTGTGCCCAAGGTCAGGGAACGAGAGCATGCCACTGAAACAGGCGGTGGTGGCTGCAGTGTGCTGGCTCGCCATGAGGCCTGAAGCAGTGTAGGGCTTCCCATTCAATCCGCCTGTCTGTGGAGGGACCGCAGGACCACATCCAGGATGTCACCACTGATTCCTGGTGAGAGGTGCCTGCTCCGTAGGAGCCATCGCCAGGAGCATCCCCCACCCTGCCCTCGCTGCTGTGGAGCGGCTAACGGCAAAGCATCACCAGAGACAAATACCTGACCGGAAGGGGTCTCTTTGACTAATAAAGTTAGAATTTTATTTCCGTACATTGTCAACATCACAAGTGTGCAGGAAACGTGTTCTAGGGGGAATGGTCCCTCGGCTGAGTCCCGCTCCCAAGATGGGGTGGGGGGGACCCCTGTTCATATTTACAAGGTGATGGGGTCGGGCTGGCCAGGACAGGGGATCTTGCCCTAGCAGCAGCTCTGTAGACAGCATGGAAGAGGCCAGGACCAGGACACCCCCGAATATTGCTTGGTTGCAGAGAATGAAAAGTGGAACCCAGGCTCAGACCCACCCTGCAATCCCCAACTACAAAGCCACTCGGGCAGCCGGGGCAGGAAATGCCTGTGGCCTGACAGCAAGAGCCCTCTTGGACAATGCTGCCCCGTTGTCTAGCATTCAGGGCAGCTGAACTGAATGTTGTCCCTGAGCCGCTCCTCTTTTACGCCAGTGTCTCAGGGACTTCTGCCGACTTCGAGCCACGCTGCTCTTGTGCGGTCTCTCCTCAGCCTGCCTTCTCCCACGCTGCCCCTTGAATTACAGGTGACATTTCCTGCACGTGTCCTTCCCCCCATGCAGAACCCGTCGTTCTGCGGGGCCTGTCTGCACCAGTGTCCAGACACAAGCCCACTGCTCTCCATGTGCTCTCCTGGCCCTGTGCCTGTTGGTACCTTGGAGAACATGCAAGCTCCAAGATCCAAACCCATCTGCTGCTCAGGGAAGTCTCCACCCACAGCTTTGATTCAGGCCCTTCTCAGAGGATAAACTCTTGGGGACAGGGGCCTTCTCTTTCACAGCTGTGTAGTTCTGACCTCCATAAACCTTTCTATAGTCTATAGAGCAACCAGAGCAGACATAAAAGGCCTGGTCGTGAGAGGTGCCAAGCAATTTCAGCAGCTCTTGGCTTCTGAGTGGGTTGTAAGCGCTCAGCACCTCTTGGGCCTTGCCAAGACAAGGATGTGGAAGGTGTTAACAGCCTTGCAGGGGCTACGCAGTGTGCTTTGAGTACGTGTTACTGGAGTTATCCAGGCTTTGACATGAGCCCTGCAAAGCATGTTACCTGGACACTGCCCATCTGCACCAGGCCACAAACGCCTTCCAAATCTTGGTATAGACACAGCTGAGTGTTTCCCCAGCACCCTGACCGGCTCCGCAGACCTTCCTTCTATTCCCACCCAGGGATCAGACCAATGTGAGGCAAACAAGCCCTTCCAACTCTATAGCTCAGTCACACAACAGCCTCACTCCATCCTCTGTCTTCCCTCCCCCGCCGCCCGTGCACAGGGCGAACGTTCTCCACCTATAAGAACCGGACCCGCGTCCACGAGGTTGGAGAACTCTCGTGGGAGCAAGTGTCCCCATCCCAAAAGTGATACTTGGCCAATCAAGGCCCAAACCCACCACACTGGGACCGATCACAACCAATTAACCTGACTCAGTTTGAAGGTTTCCCCACATGCACCCCACGATGAATTAACTGCAAGTAGGTGAGAGGCTCAGATTTTATTCCTAGGAATAATTTGGCTGCCGACTACACCTGGGGAGATTGTGAGCTGCCGATGGGCAAGCTGCAAATGGAAATCCTTCAATCCACGTCGGGCCTATGGAACAACCCACAACAGCCTGCGCGGCAGGGTGGGGGCTGCCTCTCTCTGCCCCTCCCAGTGTCAGGGAACTCTCCAAAGGACTGCAGATGAGCTGGTGGGGTAGAGCTGAAAGGACCGTAGCTGAGAGCTGTCCCCTCTGCACCCTTTCACTCTGGAGATTGGGGTGAGGGAGAGAAATACAAGAGCGTTTGCATCATGGTGATGGACTGACCCCCCCACGCTCCACTCGGCTCTGGTTAAACATCCATCTGAGTCTGTTTCCTCCTTGGGTCTCTGATCTGGGCCGCTCCCCAGTGACCTAGAGCCAGCCACAGCAAAGATGCTGCTTTTGAACCCTCTGGGTGCCCCAGGGCCATTACCTCTGTCCACAAAAGGTTTGCAGAAAGGTGCATTTCAGTGAAAATCCCTCCAGATGATAATCCCGTCCCATCTCTCCAGCTGGAGGCATCATCCCAGCAGGCGACAGAGCAGCCCCCAGCCCAGGCAGCTCTGTCCAGTGTGCAGCAGCAAAGCAGAGGCCGACAGGCCCTGCTGCAAGGAGACCAACCCATGGGGATGCAGCCAGAGGGGCCAGCCCCCGCCCCAGGGAGACGGTCGTTGTACTGCTGCATCAGCCAGGAGTGGAGATGCCAGGCTCAGGCCATCAGCTGCTGCTGTCAGGAGACCTGGGGAAACAAAGCAGACAGGGAGCCTGTCAATTCCCCCCCATCCTTCTCCGCCTCCTCCAACAGCTCTGGGTGCTCCGGGGCTGGTCAGACCCTGCCCAGCAGCCATCTCCTACCTGGAGCATCCTCCCTGTTCAGTTAGCTCAGCCCCTTGCCCCTCTGCCCAGCTAGGGAGATGGGGAGAGTTCAGGGCACCGTGGCTCTGCCCGTTCCGAGGAGGAAGGGTCCTAACCCAGAGATCAGAAGAGCAGGGGGAGGAGCGATGTCTGCCTGCAGGGATGGGGTGCAGGCCCCAAACAGGGGATCCGGGGGGGACACTGAGCGGAGGGACCTGGACACAGTATATGGGCGGAGTTCAAATGCCAGTGTCTAGCCACAGGGCAAGCTCGTCCTGCCCTTCTGCCAACGTGTCTCAGCCCTGTTTTGCCATTATCTCGCCCTGACATTTATCAATAGGAGTAGGGCAAGGCAGTCATGGCCCATCTGCCATGTGGTCAGATCCCTGGGTTCAGAACCTCTTCCCTAAGGGTACATCTACACTAGCCCCCTAGATCGATCTAGGGAGGCTAATGAGGGCGACCGAAATTGCAAATCAAGCCCAGGATTTAAATGTCCCGTGCTTGATTTGCATGTTCCCGGCTGGTCGCCATTTTAGAAATTGACTAGCCCGAAGTAACTGCCCGCGTCTACACGCGGCAGTGAAACGGGATTCCGATTTAAAGCCCCTAAATCGAATTAGCTGGTAAACCTCATTGCAGGATTTGGTACCAACCATGCAGGTAATGCTCTGACAATATAAAGGGCCCCATCCTTTCTAAAAGTACTCCATCATCATAGGGGCATACGCTGTGAAGGGATCTCTTGGGCCACTGGATCTAGTATCTGCTGTTACCAGAAGTGGCTCTGATAACCCGGCCCTGACAAACCCAGATGGGACACCAGCGCTGGATACAGAGTCTTAAGGCTGCAGATCAGGTCTTGATCTCTCATAGATACACAGCTAATCAGATTTGTAATTTTCCACATTGTTTGTCATTGGAACTCACCACCACATTAAGTCACTGACACTAAGGCTACGTCTAGACTGGCATGATTTTCCGCAAATGCTTTTAACGGAAAAGTTTTCCCGTTAAAAGCATTTGCGGAAAAGAGATTAGATTGGCTTTTGCGCAAAAACACTTTTTGCGGAAAAGTGTCCGTGCCAATCTAGATGCAGTTTTGTTAAGAAAGCCCCGATCGCCATTTTCGCCATCGGGGATTTTTTGCGCTAAACACTTTTTAGCTCTCTACACTGGCCCTCTTGCGCAAATGTATTTGTGCAAGAGGGCTTTTTCCCGAATGGGAGCAGCATAGTATTTTCGCAAGAACACTGACAATCTTACATTAGATCGTCAGTGTTCTTGCGCAAATTCAAGAGGCCAGTGTAGACAGCTGGCAAGTTTTTCCGCAAAAGCAGGTGCTTTTGCGGAAAAACTTGCCAGTCTAGACGCAGCCTAAAAGTTTAGCAAGATTAACAAAGGGATTAGATGTGTACATGGATCCCTTGAATATCCAAATGTAGCATACAGTAGTTATTGCTAGCCAGCATTTTAGAAGGGCTAGACATGGTTGAACCTGATCTCTCTAAGGCTACGGCTACACTGTAGCCATCTTGCGGAAAAGCTTATACAAACAAAGTGCAGCGTGGAATATCGCCGCGCTTCATTTGCATAATTCATTAGCAGCCACTTTTGCGCAAGAGGGTTTTGTGCAAAAAGGAGCTGAGTAGACGGCTCCTTTTTGCACAAAAGCCTCTTGCGCAAAAGCAGCTGCTAATTAATTATGCAAATGAAGCGTGGCGATATTCCATGCCGCGCTTCATTTGCATATGCTTTTCCGCAAGAAGGCTCCAGTATAGCGGTAGCCGACGGGATCAGGAGGAGATGATGATAATGCAGGTTTTCCCATAGCTGCCCATTACAGGCTTCTGGCACCCTCCTCCAAAACAGCAGGTGCTGGTCACGGCTGGCAACAGGATAATGGGCTAGATGGGCCCTTGGTCTGCCCCAGTCTGGCTGTGCCTGTGATACGAATCAGGAAAGGCCTTTTCCACTGCACTGCCCAGAAATCAGCCCTGCCCGTGGGCAGCTCGTTCTAAACCAGCCAGAGAGCCAGGGTTCTGCAATGGCTCCTTACTCCTCCCTGTGCAGCAGAGCATCCCTCCCGTCGTGCCTTGAGACAATTCCCAGGAACTGGAGCTGGCTAGGGGCCAGGACAGCCATGCTCACAGGACCGCCTGCCCGCGAGACACACGGCCGTGGCCTGCCAATGCCTGTCTCCCCTGTCCTGCAGGGAGCGTAATTCACTTTTCTCTCCATCTTAATGTCTCTGACATTAATAAAATATCTGGCGGCACTTCTGGGGCTCCTGCCAGCAGTGTCTAGCTCCCCGTTCATTGTTATTCACTTGCTGAGCTGACTGCAGCGCAGCCCCGTGGGCCTCACGCAGGGGGAAGCCACGCAGGTGCGTCTGGTTTGGGGATGCCACTACAGAAGCATGTCACTTTGACAGCCCTGAAGTGCAAGATAAACAGCCCCTTCTCCTCCGGTGTTCCTTCAGCCCTCCCCACAGCCGAAAGCGGGCTTCTGCCCCACTCCGCTGCCTGCCGCCTAACAGAAAAGGGACCCAGCTCAGACCCCGGATCCCCCAATGTTTGGGAGGCACCTGGAATCGGTACCCAGATCTGAAGCCCCAAAGTGGCGCCTGTTTCTATAATAGGCCAAACCGGAACCACACACACACACACAATGCTTGGGGGCAGGAAGGGCAGGTTTTGCAGTTAGGGCTTGTCCTTTCCCCAGAAGCCTATACATTACCCCAGCGTTCCTGTGGGAGCTCGGGAAAGCACAGGCTGCTGGCAGCTGCCCCCTTTCGTCTCCCCCACGGTCCTGCTGCTCTGCCATGCCCTACAGCACCCCTTGCTGGGAACGGCAGGGGCTGGGGTGTGTGTGGGGGCGGGACAGGCTGGTACTAAACCAGCTGTGCACCAGTCTGTGCAGGTGTCCGAGGTCGGCCGTGTCCGGGTCTGTTCCAGGCTGCAGCCTTGGCACAGGAGGGGAACCCAGCAGCCCCAATAGCAATACTCTTACATGCATGGAGACTGGCGTTCCTCGCTCACCCCTGGAGAAGGGACACAGCCCCAGTGATTCACCTTCCTTCCCAGCTCACACTAACCCCTCTCTCCAGACACCTTCCAACCAGGACATCCGCCCCTCGCCCCCGTCCCCAGCAGGTTTCTCCTCCCAGCTCAGGAGGGCAGGTTGCAAGGAGGTTACTTACTGTGACGGTTTTTATGCGGCCCAGTCGCCTCGTGCAGCTCCAGCCTGACCGATTTATTAACACAGTGCACTGCTCCTCTTCGTCACAGGGCTCCATCCCACACCACTGCTTACTGGCAATGAGCTGAGCTGCCAGAGAGAGCAGGATGGTAACAGAGCATGGAGCGGGGAGGGCGAAATCAGCAGGAGTCGGGAACAAGGGAGAGAGAGAAGCAGGGTGCAAAGGGAAATTAGACGGGCATATATGGGGATGGACAGAAAGGTGGGTGTGCATACAGGGGGCATAAATATATAGGGATACAGAGACAGATGCATATAGGGATGGAAAGATGGGCATAGAGAGAGATGGTATATATAGGGATAGATGGATAGAAAGGCGTGTGGGTGTGTGTGTAGGGATAGAGACATGAATGGGGATGGATAGATACATGGTGTTTAGAGATGGATATACAGAAAGGCATATACAGAGGATGGAGAGACAGTGTATATGGGGGATGTGTGGGGGTGGATGGGGGTATATAGGGAAGGAAAGATGTGCATAGAGAGAGATGGGTATATATAGGGATAGATGGATAGACAGGCGTGTGGGTGTGTGTAGGGATGGAGAGACATGAATGGGGATGGATAGATACATGGTGTTTAGAGATGGATATACAGAAAGGCATATACAGAGGATGGAGAGACAGTGTATATGGGGGATGTGGGGGGATGGATGGGGGTGTACAGGGAAGGAAAGATGGGTGTATAGAAGGATACGCATCGGGCACAAGATTAAACAAGAACAGGGACAATTAAGGAAAGTAGAATCAGAGAGGGGAAAGGAGGGTTGGGTTAGGCAGAACACAGGGCAAAATAAAAATTGTGTCACGGGGCAGAGGAGACAAGGAGAGAGAATGGAGACCATTAGTGACAGTGTAAGGCAGAAAGTTACAATCTGTAACTGTACCAATATGAGATAACAGCAGGCTGCAGGCCAGAGACTTGGAGCAGCCTCTCATGTTTCCCACACACAGGAAGAACACAGGGCAAAATAAAAATTGTGTCACGGGGCAGAGGAGACAAGGAGAGAGAATGGAGACCATTAGTGACAGTGTAAGGCAGAAAGTTACAATCTGTAACTGTACCAATATGAGATAACAGCAGGCTGCAGGCCAGAGACTTGGAGCAGCCTCTCATGTTTCCCACACACAGGAAATTGCCATGTGAGATGACATGTCCCCTCCCTTGCCGGGCTCTGCAGGGCCTCTGACAGCTGCAGGGCACAGCAACCTGAGAAACCACAGTGGGGTTTTCTTTGCAGAACTCCAACCAGAGGAGCCTCAACGTGGCTCCTGCCTCCCTGCCAGGGAGTGCAGAGAAGTTTGCTTGTGAAGCTGGACTCTCCAAAGAGTTCAGAGCCAGATTTTATGGAGGCATTTCCCACAAGGGGGGGCTCTGCAGGGCCTCTGACAGCTGCAGGGCACAGCAACCTGAGAAACCACAGTGGGGTTTTCTTTGCAGAACTCCAACCAGAGGAGCCTCAACGTGGCTCCTGCCTCCCTGCCAGGGAGTGCAGAGAAGTTTGCTTGTGAAGCTGGACTCTCCAAAGAGTTCAGAGCCAGATTTTATGGAGGCATTTCCCACAAGGGGCCAGATACTCCAAAGAGCTCTACACCCGTTTAAAGCACCTAAATAAGGGCCGGATTTTCAGCAGTACCCAGCAGCTCCTGGAATGATGCTGTGGACAAGGTTTTCCAAAGAGCTCCCAAAGGCATCTTGGCATCAAACTCCCGGGCTGCATCTAGACTGGCAAGTTTTTCCGCAAAAGCAAGCGCTTTTGCGGAAAAACTTGCCAGCTGTCTACACTGGCCGCTTGAATTTGCGCAAGAACACTGACGATCTCATGTAAGATTGTCAGTGTTCTTGCGGAAATACTGTGCTGCTCCCGTTCGGGCAAAAGCCCTTTTCCAGAAATGCTTTTGCGCAAGAGGGCCAGTGGAGACAGCTAAAAACTGTTTTGCACAAAAAAGCCCCCATGGCGAAAATCAGCATCTCCTATTGCACTCCTGGTAGCTTTGTCAGCCTCCAGGAGAAGGGCATTTTGGCTGGGTTAATGTATAGGAGCCTACGAATGAATAAACTTGGAAAACGAACGCCCCTCACTCCTACTGAATCTTATTCTTCCTCCACCAGTAGAGCTGCAGAAACTGGCCATGCAAAAATCCTCTTCCCCCGGCCTTGTTACCAACGGATATAAACGCGGATACAGCTGGACGTTGCTGGACCATGAGCAGGCTGTTTGGCTGTGTGTCATGTCACCTGTGTGGTTAGTAGCTCCCAGTGATGACAGGGGACTGTGTGCCCGGAACAAACAGGGATGCTGGAACAATTTGTCTAGTGTGGGTGCTGAGAACCACTGAACCAAATGGTGATCCCTGTCCATGATGGAAACCGCTTCTAGCCAGGGGTGCGGAGCACGGCTGCTTCAATGCCCATGTGGACAAGAGGGCCTGAGGCAGCTGTCACTACAAAGTTGCATGTGACCATGGTGTGCATAAAGGGAACCAAGGGGCTAGAGGTGGCCTCATGACCCAGCCCCGAGTTCTCTGGAGCAGCTGGTGTGGGAAGCATGGATGGGAACCGTGCTACGCTCTCTTACCATCTACACAGGCAGGTTTTGCCCTCGTTGTGCCGGCGACTTGGCCTCTCCTGCAGGCACAACGTGCTGTCTGCCGGGCGATCATCCTCCTGGGATGGCTGAGGTCTCGGTTTAGTGCTGTGATCTCGCACATCCCCACCTCCAGCTCCTTCCCTGCAGCAAGAAAAGGGGACTCTGAGCAGCTGCTGCACAGTCAGATGGGCATGGCACCTGCGCTCGGGGGGCTACCCTAGGAATAAGACCAGGAGGCAGCACATGGGCAACAACATGGCAAATGAAACTTCATGTGGATAAATATAAAGTAATGCACATTGGAAACAATAATTCCAACTATACATACAACGTGATGGGGACTAATTTGGCTACAACTACTCAAGAGAGAGATCTTGGAGACATTGTGGATAGTTCTCTGAAAACATCCATGCCGTGTGCAGCGGCAGTCAAAAAAGCAAATAGAATGTTAGGAGTCATTAAAAAAGGGATAGAGAATAAGACAGAGAACATCTTATTGCCACTATATAAAACCACGGTACGCCCACATCTTGAATACTGTGTACAAATGTGGTCGCCTCATCTCAGAAAAGATATATTGGCACTGGAAAAGGTTCAAAAAAGGGCAACAAATATGATGAGGGGTTTGGAATGGGCCCCATATGAAGAGAGATTAAAAAGACTTGAACTTTTCAGCTTAGAAAAGAGGAGACTCAGGGGATATGATGGAGGTCTATAAAAATCTTGACTGTTATGGAAAAGTAAATAAGGAATGCTATTTATTCCTCAGAAAACACAAAAGCAAGGCATTATCAAATTAAATGAATAGGCAGCAGGTTTAAAACAAACAAAAGAAAGGCTTTTTTTCTCATGCAAGTTGCAGTGGGACAGGTCCAGGTTGGATATTAGGAAAAACTATTTCACTAGGAGGGTGGTGAAGCACTCGAATGGGTTACCTAGGGAAGTAGTGGAGTCTCCATCCCTAGAGATTTTTAAGTCTCGGTTTGGCAAAGCCCTGGCTGGGTTGATTTAGTTGGGACTGGTCCTGCCTAGGGCAGGGGGCTGGACTTGATGACTCCTGAGGTCTCTTTGGCAGACAGGATACTGGGCTGGACGGACCTTTGGTCTGACCCAGTACGGCCGTTCTTATGTTCTTACATCTGGGTTCTAGGCCCAGCTCTGTCACTGGCCACCTGCTTGCGCTAGGCCACAAGTCAAAAAATGCCATTGCTTGCTGGGTGTCTCTTTCTTGGGAGCCCAACCAGCTAGGGCCTGGCTTTCAGAGAAGCTAACAGCCAGGTGCTCCCATGGTCTCCAGCTGGTGAAAGGAAACCTAAAGCCCACAGAGGTCTCAATGCAACAGTTCCTGGGAGGAACAACTCCCACAGAACTTGGGTCTGAGTCAGGACAACTCGGAACATGTCCCCATCTAGAGCAAAGGTTTTTCACCTCCCCTGGGGGCCAGGCACTGAGCACCTTCCCTCAGCTTCTTTCCTGTCCCGTGATGCTTGGGAATAGCTTAGACAGGTTCATGGGTCTTCTCCCCTGACCGAATGGAGGTGGGGGAGTCTTTTTACTCTGATCCCTTAGCACCTCTGCACAGGGCAGGCTGGTAGCATGGGGACGGAAAGGCAAAACTGGCAGGCTGGGTGCGTGCTGAGCCCAACTGCAGTAGCAGGCAAGGATCAGAAGTTCTTTAATCCAGCCCAGCATAGAGCGAGGCCTGGTCTGCCTGGTCCAAGACTCCTAGACTACGTCTACACTGCAGGCTTCTTGCACAAGAACTTTCTTGAGGAAAAGTTCTTGTGCAAAAAATCTTCCACAAGAGCACGTCCACACTGCCATGTGCTTTTGCACAAGAGATGTGCTTTCGTGCAAGAGCATCCATGGCAGTGTGGATGCTCTCTTCCACAAGAAAGCTCTGACGGCCATTTTAACCATAGGGGCTTCTTGCGGAAGAAATTCATGTTGTCTGTCTACACTGCTCTCTTGTGGAAGAGCTCTTGCACAAGAGGGCTTATTCCTGTTGGGGAGAGGAATAACTCTTCCGGAAGAAGCTCTGTTTTCCAACACTGTGCTGTAAATGTACTTGCACAAGAACACGCGTGCAGTGTAGACAGCTGGCAGGTTTTTGCGCCAGTACGGCTGTTCTTGTGCAAGCAGCGTGCAATGTACATACAGCCCGAGGGTTGCCAGATGATTTAACCAAAAATACTGACCTCCGCCCCTCCCAAAAAAAACCACTGGGGGAAAAATTCTGTTGGGGGGAAAAAAGGCGGTGGGGGGAGATCAAAGTTGTTGAGCCAAAAAAAAAAAGGACTCCAAAAATTATTAAGCAAAATAAAATAAAACAGCATTAAAACAGCATGGCCCCTTTAATTGCACGGGGAGATGGTTGAGCACTAAGACCCAGGGAAGGCATTGCTTCTGGTCTTTTTGTTGGTGGCCATCTTGTTTTCTTGATCGATATTGCCACTTGTCTACACTGGCCGCGAGTACTTGGCAAGAACACTGACGTTCTAATGTATAAAATCAGGGCTTCTTGTGCAAAGACTCTGAAGCTCCTGCTCAGGGATAAGCCCTCTTGCACAACTGGTCTTGCGCAAGAGGCCAGTGTAGACAGGCAACATCAATTTCTTGCGCAAGAAAGCCCGATGGCTAAAATGGCCATCAGAGCTTTCTTGCACAAGAGAGCGTCTACACTGGCATGGATGCTTTTGCGCAAAAACACATCTCTTGCGCAAAATCATGCCAGTGTAGATGTAGCCCTTCCCTTTAACCACAGGGGTGGCCGAGAAAATGGCACAAAT